CTGTTCTGCCGCTAGAAATAAGTTACTTTTTCCTCTCTCCTTTCCTTCAGCAGGCGCTTTAATGCCTGCAGTTGCACAAATTCAGGGATTTATCTTGACACTGTGTTACTCTTTGTGACGTCTTGGAGAGGTGAAGTTTGTGCATAACCAAGAGTATAAATAACAGCCCTCATGCGTAAAACGTTGAGGCAGAGTTAGGTTCCATTCAGTGATTTCATGGTGTGTACAATGGTAGATTTTGATAATGCACAGTGTAAATGTAAAAAGAAAAGGATATGTCATATGCAGAATGAGGCCTACAATAGAAACCAACACTTTTATTAGACCAGATTCTCTTTTATAAAATAAAAACCCATTTGGCACAGTTTTGGGTACATTTGGCTAAATTGTGCCAAAATGCCATTTCCGCCTGGCACACTGCTCACTAAAACCTTTGTGAAATGAATATACTTCAACTTATTCAGTCCTACTTTGCTACAATTTTTCTCAAGATTTACCTTATTTCCCTCTGGGATCAATAAAGCATTTTTTAATTGTATTGAAGATGAAGATGTATAAAATCTAAGGGCATTCCTGGATTTTCACAAGAGTTTCCATTGTGTTTTGCACTGTTGATTTAAAAAKAAATTTAGGCGAGGCTAAAAAAATTACAAATTTTCTTTATTTGATCACAAATAACTCAGGCACAGTAAGAGCTACAATAGTGGTTTCACTTAAGAAATGATCTTTAAGATCTTMCCTTTACAGAGGTACCAAGGGTCAGCATTTAGACCTCACAACTGTGGAGCTATTCTTGATTTATTTTGCTGTGTATTTTCAAGAGGAAATTACCTCTAAAACCCCTTAAGGGTAAGAAATATGAAATAATTAGTTGTTTTTTTTAACGATCCACCAAACCATCTTATAAAAGAGGGTTGTCTTGCATTTGCATTCCCTGCTGAGGGATTTTATATCAACTTTGTGTCCAATAAACAGAAGCAGCATTGAAATTGCTGAAATTGTGGACCTACTGCTGCTTTAGTTTGACTGGTAGGAACCGGGAGGATTCATTTAAATAAAGTGTGATTTATTTGAGGACAATTTGCTTTAAACTGATGAGTTGTACATGTTAGGAGGTTGTGTAATAGAACCCTATTCTTTTTCACAACGGAGGTAAAACAGTTGAGGGCAGGTTGGGTATATTTTGAATTAAAAACAGCAAACTAGGCTGGCAGAAAGGTCAGCGAGTTCCACACTTACAGCTAGAAAGAGCTTCAGCTTCCCAGGGGGGACGRCAGCAGACAGGTGTATTTATAAGGCTTCTCAGAAGGCTAAACTCCCTGTTAGAGATTCAGCTAACACACTCAGAAAACGGTGCCATCGTCACAGCTGCAGGGATGAAGGAGGAGTTCTAYCAGCTCAGCCAGAACAATATCAGCCGCTTAATTAACTGAAATAAAACGGCAGTGAAATATTATCAGTCCTATCAGCTCAGCCGCGTAATTAACTGAAATAAAACTGTCAGGACATTATCTAAATTCTGGTAGAGCTTTTCTCCAACAAGCAACTAGATGTATTTACAGATAAAAGCTTTGTTTCTGCAAAAAATATATATATATTTTTTTGTAAATGGTTAAATGAAGTACATTTTTAAAATGATCAATTATTTTCAGGAACTTGTTTTGTATTTTAGCATCAKCTACAGTAAATTTCATAAAAAAGCAAACTCAACAAGTGTGAAGTTTTAGCTCAGGAACAATAAGAGAAAGCAATTTGCAGCCGAATGCTAAAGGTAGCATCTCAACATGCAAATCTGGTCCTCGTGGGACATTATCCTTCCAGTTTTMGATTTWTTTTWTGTTTTACTGTRTTTCRTTTTTTTAGTGTTTAAAAGAAGTCATATTTTTCTCYTCTTCTCAGATGACGTCTTTGGATCAGGTTGGGGAGGAAGTGGTCGGTCAGGCTCGATGTCCGTTTGAGTCCAGTCAGTCCAACGTTGGCTTATTTGCTGGTGAGTCAACATTAATGAGAAGGGGGTYTCTGCAGTCGCYAAGTGGAAGTTATGTAATCTATCTATAATAAAAAAAAATGCCCTGAATAAAAAAATATCAAACATAATTTATTGTCATCAATTTTCATGCAGCTAGCACCTTCCTGTCTTGAGTTGACACCAAATTTAATATCCCTAATATTAGAATCTAAATTTTTACACTCCTCCTCAGCTGTCTTTACCCAAACCTTGCCCACTTTCAGTTACCTCCCACGTATTGACTGCAGAGRCCCCCTACTTGACATTACCTCTGAAAGCAGATCCCCATAATCATATTTTGTCATGTTAAATGATAAAAAGTAACTTTTAGAAAACAGAGTCCAATAACCAATGAAGACAAWTCCGAAGTCTAAACTAAAATCTTAAAAGAACTCTAGATGAAAGAGTTGTTTTGTGTTCAGGGGGAGATTTTTATTCGGCCACCATGACAGACTTTCTAGCCAGCGACGCTGTGATCTACAGAAGTCTGGGTGAAGGCCGACCCGTGCTCAGGACTGTCAAATACGACTCCAAGTGGCTCCGAGGTACGTCCCAGAATCTGATGATGGCTGTATGACTGGAAACACATTTAGTACAACTGTTTAGCTTATATTTAAAAACTTAGTCACATTTACATTGCACACCATTTAGAMATGTTCAAGGTTTTTAATCTAATCTAGAAGCATTTAGGTTTTAGTGCTTGATAGATGTACCAAGTCTTGGCTTTTGTTTAAATCAGCTTTATCATTAGAAAGAGAAACTGGAAGAAGAATTAGTTGCTTTTTATTAAAATAAATTGCATTAGCTTCATTAGTAACTGCCTGATGTCCTTGATGCTGATATCAGCAGATGTTCTGTCCTTTCTTCTGTTCTTGTCTTAGTAGGCATTGCTTGGTAACCTCACTGTAATAAAGCTAAAACTCAGCGATTTCATCTAGTAGAYTGCAGAACAAACACTATGAAGTTTAAAACTTGTGTGAAGATTCTTACTTTTCGCAGCTTTTAACAAACCTCTCTTTAGAATTAATAAGGTTTAAAGTGAACTTTCTATTGTAAGCTTAATGTGTTCTTTTAGTACAAAAAAGATTAACATGTATTTAACAAATTACAACAAAAACTCACTTTTTTATTTATTTTATTTTATTATGATTTTATTTTTTTGCATTTCTAAAGTTTTTAGACTGAGGAGTATTTGGCTAAGGCAGTCAGAAAATACATCATTTATATGRCTCTTCCTGACACTTATAAAGGTAGTGAAATGGTGAAATATTCCTTGATGGAGAGCACAGATGTGCACGGATCTGTCTGCCGATAAGTGTGGTGCTCTTGTCGTAACATATTTGTGGCCAAAGAAGATTCTCGCAACCAGTAGTGGGCACCAGCCCGCTAAAGCGCAAATCCGCTAATTGCGGACCTAAATATTTTGTTTGCGCTTTAGGGGTCTTACTAATTTTTATAATTCATAAGCAGATTTGTGCTTTCTAAAATTAAAATGCAGTACCGCTAATTACTAATTATCTACCAGTCATCATTATCTTGAACAGTGGAAGGTGACTGTCAATGAATCACAACACACGTGATCTACACAACAGCACCCGTCCCAGATAAATACATTTATTGGAAAGGTATACATCCTTGTTGACTGTTGCTTTGGGCCACTTTCCCACAATGCTTTGTGTCATCTTATGTAGCAGGAAGGCAATAGCAAAAACAGTTAACATTTGTAATCTATACTAAAATTTTGTATGTATTGATGTATTTCACTTTACTATCGAAGCTCCTTTTTAAAAAAAAGTTTAAACGCTGGAGCTCAATACTTGACGTAACTGGTCGAAGGAGCAATCCGCCAACGGGGTTAGAGACTCAGAAATGATTTAAAGATGTTTTGCTGATGAAGACTGACATCTAGAGGTCAACTGGAGCAACCGTGCTTTCATTTCCCGTCACAAATCAAATCAGTCATGTACCCAGAATGCATCACTGCAGTTTTCCAATATCAGTTTTAAAATTACTTTATTGATGCTTCTTTAATGAAAAATCTACAACAAACAAAAGAAAAAGACAAAGAAGCAGCCGAACTAGCAATCCTCAGCAACTTTTTAAAGAATCAGCCGAACTAGCAATCCTAAACAACTTTTTAAAGAATCAGCCGAACTAGCAATCCTCAGCAACTTTTTAAAGAATCAGCCGAACTAGCAATCCTCAACATTTTTTTAAAGGTCTGTTTCAGGAAATCACATCCCCAGCAACCGGCAGTTGTAGAATGAAGTTGTAAAAAAGGTCATACACCGCTACTTGGCAGTGTTGTGCATATATTGTGCATGAATTGTTGCCAGCTAGTAAGTGTCAAATTGAACTTGCCCTTTAAAATTAGCTTCCGCTAGTTTTTCTATGCAGTAGCGCTTTTGAAGTTGCGGAGCTAATTTTTGGATTAGCGCTGCCCACCACTGCTCGCAACCACATGACCATGAGCTGACTTTGTGGCTTCAGATAGAGCATAAAACAACCTTTCTGAAGCTTGCCTTTATTCTGAAACTTACCTTCTCTGGGTTTTAGAAAGCAATTTAGGGRAAAGCAAACTCTCAGTAACAGAAAAGTAAGATCATGTAAAAAGGTTTTTCCCTGCTGATAACTGCAGGAGTGTTCGAACAGCACAGACCAAAGTAAAAAGTTAGAATGAAAGAAAATAGTTTTACCTCAAAACTTAAGAAACTAGATGATTGTTATCCTTTTCTCTCTGCAGAGCCTCACTTCCTGCATGCCATCGACTATGGTAACTACGTCTACTTTTTCCTGAGTGAGATCGCTGTGGAATATACAGCCCTGGGCAAGGTGTGTGAGTGTGTCTCATGTTTGTGTGTGAGAAACTCTTTTCCAACAATAAAATAGTTACTTAGCCAGAAAAATAAAAATAACTAACAATGGAACAAGTACCAAAGTTCATACATTTTAAAATGTTCTTTTTAACAACAGTCTTGTGCATGTGCTACTGCAGGGATAACCAATTAGTAAAAGACCACTTTGTGAGAACCTTCCAGAAGAACTGAWTGTTTGTGTGGTTGGCTGAAAGTTTTTCTTGGTTTAAAAAATGTAATGTTTCCTTTTGCCCTCACACTTCAACAGAGTTTTTGTTTCTGTTCTTACAGGTTGTATATTCTCGAGTTGCCCGAGTTTGTAAGAACGATAATGGAGGATCTCCTCGAGTTCTGGACAGATATTGGACTTCTTTCCTAAAGGTGGGCTTCAAAAACTGCCATTTGTCAACCCTTTACCCTTTTATGTCCAGTCTTCCTGTTGAACACGGTGGTTCAGTAGTTTGATCGATAGTTTGGTTGAATAATTTGATCAATTTTTCATTTTGTTCAAGATCACCTACAGCAGCCACACCTGAGCATCTTAAAACAAAATAAAAATAAAGCTTAACAGTATAAATGACAGTGTTGTAACACTCTACTGCAGGGATGAACAACTTAAATGATGGAAGGCACCACAATTCTTTGTTGAGATAGCCACATAGTCCTGCACACTCACCCAAATGTAATAAAACTGTCATTTTAAAAATGTTTGTGTGTGTATATATATATA